CCAGGTGATTTCTCCAGAAAGACTCATGGATTCAGAAATCCCTAAGTTCTTCTAGATCTCAAACTATTTGTCTAATCTTGATACTTGAAGGACAGCTGAGCTGAAAATTAAATTCCTGAGTTGTACTTTAAAAAACATTTTTGTGGGGGGTGCTCCTAGGTGCTTAAGCCTCCTGGTTAAGCTGCTGCCTTTGGATCAGGTCATGATCTCAGTGTCCTGGGATCCGGCCCCACATCGGGCTCTCTGCTCAGCAGGGAGCCTGCTTCCCCCTCTCTCTCTGCCTGCCTCTCTGCCTACTTGTGATTTCTCTCTGTCAAATAAATAATTAAAAAAAATTTTTTTTTAAATTAAGCTTCACGCCCAGCGAGGATCCAGCCTCAGGGATTGAACTCACGACCCTGAGATCAAGACATGAGCTGAGACAGGGTCGGACACTTAATGGACTGAGACACCCAGGCACCCCTTGGGTCACACATTTTTTTTTAAGATTTTATTTATTTAATTTTCAGAGTATAAACAGAGGGAGAAGGAGGCTCCTCGCTGAGCAGGGAGGCTGATGTGGGACTCGGTCCCAGGACCCTGGGATCATCACCTGAGCCAAAAGCAGACATTTAATCGGCTGAGCCACCCAGGGGTCCCGGGTCATACCTTTCTTGATTGAATTAAATATATATATACACACACAGGGGGAGAGAGAGTGTGTTTCCTGTCCCAGGATAATCTTCCCAGGTATCCTGTGAGCTCTTTGCATATTCAGGTCTTGTTTTTAGTTCCTCAGTGTGAAGTTTTCTTGGATTATGGGTTTTAATACTAATTTTGTTTCATTGTTTTATTTATCAGGGACCTCATTGGCCTAGCTTCCATTTCAGTCACTCCTCCCGCTACTTTCCTCTTTCTTCCTTCCTTTCACTTTCATTCTCTTTGTTTTCCTGCCGCAGTGCACTGTTTACAGTTTACAATTTACTCTTCGGGTTTTCTTCCCTAGGGGTCTTTTAATACAGCGTTTGTTTCTGAGGTGACTCTCTTCCATTTCTTTCCTGAGTTCAATCAGCCCTCTTTCATTTCCTTCTAGTTTTTTGATCCATCTTTGCTTTTAATTTTTGAGTTTCTGATTCAAGGTGTTTTTCATATCCCCGATGCTTGTTTGAGATGTTCAGTTTACTTTGTAGTGCTGTTTCATTTTTCTTTTTCTTCAAGGATTTTTGGGGGAGTGGGCTAGGTGATTCTTACTAGTTGAGGTGCGTTGGTTCTGATTTTCTGTTTCCATGTAGTGCCTTTTCCTAGGCTTTTCCATGTTTTCTCCTATTTCCTAAACTTAGAGTGTGTACTGGATTCCTTTATCTATGGTCCCTTCTGTCCAAGTAACAAAATCCCGTTTCTTTAGTGCATTATTTAATGTGGACTCTGTGATTACTGGTTTTGGATTCTTCGTGTGTACATATCTTGAAGGAATCTGAAAATTTTCCTTTGTCACTCTGTATCCTTTTCAGTACATGTTTCCCCAAAAGTGATTTTTTTTCTTTACTCCTCTCCCTGCGAAAGTATGTCTTTTGAAGACTGCCACTTTGAATTACATATCTTTTTAAGCCCCTTGCTGTAGTTAGTGTTCTCATCTCCCAGTATATTTTTCCCAATTTTCACACTTAGGATACACTCATTTCACACTTAGCATATAATCATCCATCTGGTGGTGATTTTAGAGCAGTTTTTAGGGCCATTTCTCTCTTCTAGGACTTTCTCAGACTGTCCATTTCCTACCACAAAGGCTTGCCATGCGGGTTTCTGCTGTTCTCTCACTTTATATTCCAGGTAATTTAAAGTTTAGGCACTTTCTGTTTTTGTGTAGTTTTGTTCTTCTTGTTCTACATCATTTTTGGAGGATGTTTGGTGACACAGGCGGAAGCAGCTGCATTATCCTCTATCAGTAGTGTAAGGTTTTACAGGCGAGATAAACACGACACCAGGCGAAGTGGGTGCAAGGCAAGATTTATTAAAGGCACTCTCTGGTGAAGTTTCAGGGCTCAGGAGAAGGGGAGCCAGGAAAGTCGCGCCGGGAGGAGGTGGGCACCCTTGGGCGAGGTTCCAGGCGAGGTTCCGCGACTCTAGAAAGCAGAGTGGGGGATGTCGCGCTGGGAGGGAGTCGACGGGGGTCTTTTATCTGTCTCCTGCATAGGTATCGGGTTACCTATGGAGACGTGACCTGGGCATACATCCTTTGGTGGGGTGGGGTGGAGGAGGAGGCTGGAAGACAGCGGACCAGCGGTCGTTTGTGTTGTTCCTCCTGCACTCCCAAGGCCACCGACCCAACAAGTAGGTTTTCCAAAAAGTGAAATGGAAGCATTTAGAATAGAAAATACCAGAGTTCACTCATAATGAGAATACTGTTTCATGATACTTTTGTTTCCGTATTCTGTATCTGTATGAGTAACTATCATTTGTAAACTTATCATTTGTATAGGTCATATTCAAAATAATTGAGAGAATGTTGTAGCAGATAGTCTCCTAAAGCCCTCCAAACTTGTCCCCTCAGTGGTTTTGAACCCTCAGTCTTTACATGTTGTCGCTCAGCTTCCTTCTGGTGTATCCATCTCAAAGAGGTGCTGTTTTGTCAGTCAACTTTGATAGGTGCGTTGTGCTGGGTCAGGCATTTGTTAAAGGCAAAAGCCAAGTAGAAAAACTTGATCTTCTAACCTCCAGGGCACTTACTACTTGGGAAGAGAGAACTTTAAACCTCAAGAATACCTATGGAGCTACTGCCATCAGGTAGCAATGACCAACTGTCCCTCACTCCATACATCCCTTCATGAGACAGTTTTCTCCACTGGTCTGTAGATGTGAAGGAAATCCATGACCTGGAGCCCTGACATTTTATTCAGTCGTTTCTTTCTACTGTTTTTACCCTACAAAATAGAATAATGATGTCTCCTCATGAGAGTCTTCCCTTGTTTGGAGGAAAGGATAGTAATGCATGGGCAATGCTGTAAGGCATAACAGAAGATGTAGAGGGGTGATATGTCATTCGACTAAATGCTAAAAATGGGGTGACTTAGATTTTTTTAAAAGGCCTTTTAAATTCCTTTTTAAAAAAGATTTTATTTGAGAGAGAGTTGTGCATGCGCACAAGCCAGGGGAGGGGCAGAAGGACAGGGAGAAGCAGACTCCTTGCTGAGCAGGGAGCCCAAGACCCCAAGATCATGACCTGAGCCCAAGGCAGATGCTTAAACGACTGAGCCACCCAGGCAACCCAAAGTCTTTTTAATTCTTAAAGATTACTCATTCATTTATTTATTTGAGAGAGAGCACAAGTGTGTGTGCATGGGATGGGGGCTGGGGGTGGAGGGAGAGGGAAAAGCTGACTCGGCACCGCATGGCCCTTGATCCAAGGACGCGAGACCGTGACCCCAGCTGAAACCAGGTTGGGGACTCAGCCAACTGAGCCACCCAGGCACCCTGGTAACTTAGATTTCATGTGGACTATGAGATTTTGAAAGGTCGGGGAAAAGGGTGATTTGGACTGGTTGGGGGCTAGGAGTTGCTATGAGATGAAAATGGGAAAAGACTATATGAACAAGGTCTTCAAAATGTTTTCAAATATCTCAAGTAGGCTTGATTTAAATTAGTGCTTCTCAACCAGGGTGACTTTGTCCCCCAGGAAACGTTTGACCATGTCAAGAGACTTGTGGTTTCATAGCTGGCAAGGAGGTGGGAGGGGCAGGTTGGAAAGGAAGGAGCTACTGGAAGCTAGTGAATGGAGGTCGGGAATGCTGTAATCCTACAATGCACAGGACGGCCTCACAACAAAGTTATGCAGCCCATAGCGTCAATAGTGCTGAAGTTGAGAGACTTGTTGAAATGAAGGAAAGTGACAAGAAATGGAAGTAGGAAATATACGTTTTCTTGGTTGAAATTGTAGTACATTTCGAGCTTTTTAAAGGTATTACCTGATTCCTTAGGGGGCATTCTCTTGACCAGGAAATAAAGGACGGAAACAGTCATCCTCTGATTCATGTCCCCACCATTATTGAATGAAGGTTTTTATGTTGGGAGTTTGTGTTCTCAGTAAGGTATATTAACAACAGAAAGAGGGCGTGTTTCAGAACCTGGACTGGATCCTGACAAGAACCAAGCAGCACTCAGAGACCTTGAGGATAGGAGGTTTATTTATTGTCAGCAGGCTCAGAGGAGAGTCATCTCTCAAGGTCTGAGCCCCCCAGCACAAGCAAAGGGGGTAGTTTATATGCTTTTATTTCCGTATCTGTGCCACTCTTGTGCCCGCAGCCGGCGGGGCAGGGGCAGAAACCCAGAATGGTCCTGTGGCCAGGACTGGGATTTCCCTGCTGGATCGGCCCGCTCCCTTAGCACACAGATTTCCCTCATTAGGAGGAGAAAGGAGAAGATGCAGGAGAGGAGGAGGAAAAAGAATCAACAGTTCAGCCCACCCGTATTTCCTACAAGCAAGAGCCTTCCCTTGGATCATGTTCACTGGCAGCAGAGATAGTCCCATTGCAACGGCTGCCTGTGTGGCTTAGTGCCAGCCCTAACAGGTGCATCTGGAAGTACCGATTTCCTAGACCCCCAAACTGTCTTTGGATTGCTGGGGGACGACCTAGTGTTTTTCTGAGCACAGCACGGGACACTAATCATTTCAGTCCTAGATGCCCGACGGAACAGGTTAGTTTCTTCAGACATCTCCTGCCCTGGTGCTGCTTTCTGAGGTCGGACACTAACTCTCTGTACTAAGAATACTCTTTCAGTACTGTTTTAGGGAAACTAGTCTACCCACGTTTACCCCGTAACTTTCCTCCTTCGACTTCATCTGGGCCCTGCGGTTAGAAACAAAGACCAGGCTGGCCGGTGGTCAAAGGCAGGACAGATGAGTATCAGGCCAGTAGGGGTAAGGCACTATTTATCGAGCAAATACAAAAGCCTTGACTTACGCCAGGCCCATATATAACAGGTCTGGGCAACAACCCTGTAAGGGAAGTGTCTGAATTTTACAGACAGAGGGAGGGTGACTCCACGCGCATAACCACCACTAAGACTGGTGGGCGGCCCGCCGGGCGGAAGCGGTGCGGAGCAGGGGGAGGGAGGGCCGGCCAGGAGAACGCGACCACGTTGCCGGCTGGGCCCAGCCAGCCGCTCCCTTCCAGGGGCTCACGGCAGCCACCGAGTTTGAGGACCTTCCTGCGATCCTAGAGCGGCCCCGGAAGTGCATCCGGCCGGTGAAGTCCCGGCAGCCGCCGCGGCGGGGGCGGGGCATGCGCCAGTTCCTCTCGGCGGCCCTGCAGGGCAGGTAGGGCTTGGAGCGTGGGGGGTTTCGCGCAGTGGAGGCTGTGGGCAGGGTGCGAAGGGCCGGGGGGCGGGGCGGGGGGGCCCTCCGTCGCGGGTCCTTTCTGTTGGCGCAGGGCTGGACCGGCTTCTCCGAGGGCACTCGGGTCAGCTCAGGGACGCCTGTCTGAACCGCCGTGTTTACGTCTGCAGCTCTTGCCACCCCACGTGCTCTAAGTCCACTTTGTTTTCGTCTGTTCGTCTCAAACCCCAGTTCGCTTCTACCGTGACAGTAGTAGCGGCTCCTCCAGGGCAGACGTTTGTGTCTGTTTTGTTGAACTGGTAACAGTTGCAGATTGCCCACAGCTGTGCCTGGCGGGGGTTAACGATAAGTGTTGGCTGTTTGTCTGCAGCACCCGAGGGGCCTAAAACAGGCCTGGCACGTGGCAGGAACTCATTGCTTCTTGAATGGATGGATGGATGGATGGACGGACGAAGGAATGAATGAATGAGTGGTGTTCTTGCCAGAATCTTATAACAAAGAAGGGGAACCTTTTTCTGTCTTTAGCTAAGCTGTCAGTAAATGCTTCTCTGTAGGGCACTGAGCTGGGCTCTGGAGATAAAGAGATTCCTAACAGAGAGAGGCTTCTAGAGCTACAGGGGGGAAAGATAGCAGTTTTAAAAACTATATTATAGATAGCAAATAACCACATGGCTAATAGTGACAGAAAGTGCTAATGTCGTCATTCTGGTTCTCACCGGTAGGCACTGGGGGTTATTTTATAATGCTAATTGATACCTGGCATCCAGTTTCAGCGCCACTGACATCAGTGGCCAAATGACTTTAGGTTACATTGACTTTTTCAGTGAATTTAGAGCTAGAAAAATGCAGCACTCCGTTCCCTGGAAATAATGCAGGTAGAAATTAAAATGTGAAATGAAAAGGAAAAGGAAGTGTTTATGACCTCATTGAGAATGCTGTGGTATACATGCTTCGCTTGTAGGTTTTTGTTTTTTGGGTATATTTGCTGGTTGGTTGTTTTGCTTTTGTATGAATCGTTGGGACTTAGTTGGATATAAGCTATGAGATATTTGCTGTTGGACATGGAATGAGACAAATGGGATTAACAATTTCTATTTCCTGACATTTTAGCAACTCAGTTTTAATGCTCTTTCACTTTGTTACAGTGTTATTTGCCAAAGAATTCTACATACATACCATCCTTAATCACTTAAAAAGAACACATCTTTTAGAGATGGAAGAAAGCAGTAATTATACAGGATTATTGCTGGGGCATAATCTTTTCTATTCACAGGAATAAATCCAGTTACTCTGAGGTATCCACTAAATAATTTGAGAGCTTAAAATAATACATACCTACTGAATTGAACACATTCAAATAAGGAAGTATAATTTAGCCCAAGACTCGGTCACTTATTAATGTCATTTAAAATTTACTATCTCCGAAATTGTATTTATTTGGGGGCCTGGATATCAATGTTTTACTTTCTGTCTCTGTATCGGTAAAAACTCCTGTAAAAGGTGGCTTTTAGGGCAGAAGACTTATCCTTGTTGGTTTGTTTATTCAGGGTATCTGTAAAAGTCTGACCTTATATGCATATATATCTCAAACTTTGGAGTGCCTTTTATGGATTTTCTTTTTAGATTCATTTGTTGCCTTTCAGTTTTATGGTGATAAAATTTTGTGTGCATAACCTTTTTTTTTTTTTTTTTTAAATTCTATTTCCTGGGGCGCGTGGTGGCTCAGTCGCAAAGTGTCTGCCTTCCACTTGCGTTATGGTCCCAGGGTCCTGGGATGGAGCCCTACATCGGGCTCCCTGCTCTGTGGGAAGCCTGCTTCTCCCTTTCCCCCTTCTCCTGCTTGTGTTCCCTCTCTTGCTTGTGTCTCTGTCAAATAAATAAATATAATCTTTTAAAAAAAATTCTATTTCCTTTGGGGCACCTGGGTGGCTCAGTTAAGTGTCTGCTGTGGGCTCAGGTCATGGTCTCAGGGATTGAGCCCTGTGTCAGGCTTCCTGCTCAGTGGGGAGTCTGCTTCTCCCTCTCCCTCTGCCGCTCCCCTCCACTCAAACTCTCCCCCTTCCCAAATAAATAAATAAATAATAAGTAAAAATATTTTTTAAAATTCCATTTCCCTCAAAATACATGCATATATAGGTATAGGAGACCAGCACTCACAATGACCACCTTTTAACTCTTGCCCTGCTTTTACCATTTGAAGGATGGCCATCTTGCTCATCTAGCACCCATCTGCCTTTTCCCCCTTTTCCTCTTTACTCCTGTATCTAGTTATTCCTAAAGGATAGTCCTCACTGTGTACCACAGCTGCTTTCTTCCCTTCCGTTATTTGCCCTGAAGTAGTGAAAGCCATATGAATTTTGGAGTTGGAGACCTACATTTAAATAAAAAACTTTATAGTTTCTTCCTTTTTTCTTACATATGCCACTGAGCTATTCTGAACTTGAATTCCCTCATTTGTAAACAGATTATAATCCCCAAATCAGACATTTGTAGGAACTAGATCATCAATATAAGCACCATATATATAAGCCCAGCACAGTGCCTGCCACATAGAGGATATTTGGTAAATATTAGTTCTTGAATTTTCATCTGCTTTCCGTCCCATTAGATGTCTAGCAGCACCCAACCTTTACCAATGGCTGTTTTTTTAACATGTTACCTAAAGGCCATCTAAGTCAAATCTAGCTTTGGCTCACTACTCTCTGACATAACCCAAACTTCCAAGATTCATCCTTTGAGTAGGTTGGCTTTTAGCCCCTTTTAGTGCTCATTTAGGAACTAGAAACTCCTCCCACATGATAAAGCATATCCAGTGGTCCTTGAACTGTCAGTGGTAGATAGAGATGTCTCTTAAAAACATTGGCAGGTCCCAATGCGATCTCTGTCAAAATACCAGCAGCATTTTTCACAGAGCTACAACAAATCTAAAATTCGTATGAAGTCACAGAAGACCCTGAAAGCCATAGCAACCTTGAAAAAAGAAAAACAAAGCTGGAGACATCACAGTTCTGGACTTTAAGTTCTACTACAAAGCTGTGATCATCAAAACAGTATGGTACTGGCACAAAAATAGACACATAGCTCAATAGACCATAACAGAAAACCCAGAAATAAAACCACAACTCTGTGGTCAATTAATCTTCAACAACGCAGAAAAGAATGTCCAATGGAAAAAGTCTTGTCAACAGTCAAGGGAAAGCTGGAGAGCCACGTGCAGAAGAACGAAACTGAACCACTTTCTTATACCGCATCCAGAAATCCGTGCAAAATAGATTCAGGATCTTTGGCCCACACCCCTTCTGTGGTGTTCTTTTTCTTTCCTTTTTTTTCTTCTGGTCATTAAAATTTGTGGCTTTATTTGTCTTTCTTTGAAACCCATGCAAACATGTGTTCTTTTTCAATTTCTTTGTTCCACTTCCACAGCAGGCAAAGTATTACCAGTGATTTTCAAAAATGAGTGTAATCAAATTACTTGGGTATCATGTTAAATGTGTGTTCAGATTCTATAGGTCTGGGTTTTAATTTTTAATAATTTCCCAGGTAATGCCTATAATGTTACTTGTATTTATTTCCTGTTGCCACCTTAACAGATTACCACAAACTCCCAGTGGTTTAAAACAACATAAATTTATTATTTCACAGTTCTTTAAGTCAGAAATCCCAGTTAACTCAGCTTGTTTCTCTACTCCAGGTTCCACAAGGCCACAATGAAAGTGTTAGCCATTTGGGTTCTTCTTTGTAGGCACTTAGAATCTGATTCCATGCTCATTCCAGTTATTGTTGTAATTCAGTTCAGAACTGAGTTGCCCATATCCCGATGAGAGAAAGCAAAGATTTGAATCAATGGAGGCACACAGTGTTCATGGATTAGAAGACACAACACAGTAAAGATATCAGTTCTCTCTACGCTGATTTTTGGTTTAATACAGATTCTTTCAAAATCTCACCAGAAATTTTTTGTAGATATAAACTTATTGTAAGATTTATATGGAAAGGCAAGGGACCTAGGAAAAACTAAAGCGTGAAAAAGAATAAAGTGGGAAGAATCACTTTGGCTGATGTTAGGGCTACGGTCTATCTACAGTGCTCAAGAGAACGTGGTGTAGACATAGAGTTCAGACTGGAGAACCCAGAAGCAGATCCACACAAAAATGCCCAACAGATTCTTCACAAAGGTGCAGAAACAGTTGAGTGGAGGAAGGATAGTCTTTTCAGAAAATGGTGCTGGCACAGTTGGGTATCCATAGGCAAAATAAAATAAAAATAGCCTAAACTTCACACCTTATACAAAAATCAGCTCAAAATGAGTCATGGACTACAACATAAGATTTAAAACTATAAAATGTTTAAAAGAAAAGCTGGGAAATCATCAGGACCTAGATTTAGACAAAGATTCTTAGATTTGGTATCAAAACCGTGGTTGATTAAAGGAAAAAGTAATAATTTGGTTTTGATCAAAATTTAAAAGTGTTGTTCTGTGAAAGACTTAAGGATTGAAAGCCAAGCTCCAGATAGGGGAAGATAATTGCAAACCATATCTCTAACAGAGGACTTGTGTCTGGAATATAGAACGCGTCAGATTGCAGGCAGCAGCTCTGGGCAGAAGAGTCCATCAGACACTTCCCGGCAGAACAGCCCGCAGCGGGCATTCACGCCATTGGCGCCGCAGCCGCATCGCCTCCTGGGCACCTGCACTCACA